TTCAACTTCTTCTCGGTCAGATTCATCTGCGATAAAAAGTAATTCTTCCTTATCGCCCACTTGGTTAAGCCAGTCATTGTCAAAAGTTGTATTGTGTTTTCTGTACAGTTCAGTGTTAACTAAGTACCGTACAGCTTCAAGTTATGGGAGTATTCCAGTTTCCTTTTAAGGTGAACTTGGATTACATGTGTGGAATTAAAGGAACGGGGAAGCGCACTTACAGTGTCTGGCACAGAAATAGCAACATTTACCACTACTCCTCTGATTCCGCATTGCCTTTCATATCCTAGGAAGATAATGCGCATAAACGGAATTCGAGGAGAAATAAGGCGCTCTTCCAGACATGTTAAGTTTTGAAGGCACTCCGGAATTTCTGGGAAGTCTAAGCCATTGGAAAGACAAAGAGATGGTAGTCTACCTTTGGAAACGGCTTGACAGCATGTACTGCAAAATAGATATATACCGGACGGACTCGGAAATTTCCTACTTAAATAAAATGCGTTGCCTACGTTCATGTTGGGAAACTTAGAAGATATAAGAAGTTTGTTTGTTCCCACTTACCTGGGATGGAAACCATGTTGCTCCACAGCATGTACATATTTTTGTTGGTTTTTAATGTTTCGTAGATATTGTTCCCGCGCAGTGTTTCGGCTCCTCCGGCGCTGTAGTTCCCGTTGATCCTCCCTTTCATCTGCGGAAAGTTCAGCTCTAGCAGCAATATTGCGCTGCGACTTCCTTAAAGATTCCGCCTGACGATTTTGGGAACTGCTCCTATATGTGAATAGTCTTTCCTTAGCCATTTCCTAAATTTGTTGATGTCGAAGTCTCCGCTGTAGTCGTGTCTCCCGACTATGCAATGTGTTATAATGCTGCTGATGCGCACGAGTTATGGGGTTATTCCTAACGATCCTATGAGCATCCGCGTCCCGTACGCGCTCTGGTCTGCGATTTTCTTCATCCGCCCTCCAGGTAGCGCGATTAGCAGTATTTTGCGACTGCTGTCGTCGGCGCTCCTCGGAGTTTGCCCTGGCAAGAGCGTGCGCTATAGCGTCCTGTTCTCGCTCTGGCCTGCGATTTTCTTCATCCGCCCTCCAGGTAGCGCGATTAGCAGTATTTTGCGACTGCTGTCGTCGGCGCTCCTCGGAGTTTGCCCTGGCTAACGCGTGCGCTGCAGTGTTTCGGTCCTGCTGTCGTCGACGTTCCTCGGAGTTAGCTCTGGCCTGAGCGTGAGCTATAGCGTCCTGTTCCCGCTCTGGCCTGCGATTTTCTTCATCGGCCCTCCAGGTAGCGCGATTAGCAGTATTTTGCGACTGCTGTCGTCGGCGCTCCTCGGAGTTTGCCCTGGCAAGAGCGTGCGCTAAAGCGTCCTGTTCCCGCTCTGGCCTGCGATTTTCTTCATCGGCCCTCCAGGTAGCGCGATTAGCAGTATTTTGGGACTGCTGTCGTTGGCGCTCCTCGGAGTTTGCCCTGGCAAGAGCGTGCGCTATAGCGTCCTGTTCCCGCTCTGGCCTGCGATTTTCTTCATCGGCCCTCCAGGTAGCGCGATTAGCAGTATTTTGCGACTGCTGTCGTCGGCGCTCCTCGGAGTTTGCCCTGGCAAGAGCGTGAGCTATAGCGTCCTGTTCTCGCTCCGGCCTGCGATTTTCTTCATCCGCCCTCCAGGTAGCGCGATTAGCAGTATTTTGCGACTGCTGTCGTCGGCGCTCCTCGGAGTTTGCCTGGCTAACGCGTGCGCTGCAGTGTTTAGCGACTGCTGTCGTTGGCGCTCCTCGGAGTTAGCCCTGGCAAGAGCGTGCGCTGCAGTGTTCAGTGCGCGTTCCCTAGCTCGAATTCGATCACTACGCCTTCTGACAAAGCGTGCTGCCGTATTTCGCGTGCGTGCTTCCTCAGCTACTTCCAAATTACTTGCGCGGGTCTCGGCAATATGCAGGGCATTGCGGCTCCTTATCTTCGGTGAATTTTGACGATATTGGGCTCGGCTGCGCCTTAGTGCGACTTGGCGGCGTTGTTCCTGAGATAAAGAAGATATGCGTGGCATTCTCTTTATTTTTCTGCTTAAAAAATCGTATAAATAAAAATATAAATGGAATATACGTGTTTGTTATTTAAAAGTTATCAGGGAATTTTGAAATTATGTCTAATACTATGATAAATTTATGTATGCTTCAATCATAAACCCCGTATTTGGTTTAAGGTTGATACATACATAATTTTAAAACTTTCTGATAGATAAAATACTGCAATTGTTATTATTAAATTGTGGAAAAATATAATGTGTATTAAAACAGCAAAGGGAGACAGAAAATTCGGACAGATTTAACAAATTAACGGAAACTTACCAATTATCAATTGTAGGAGATGTCACTTTAAATCACTTTACGCACTTTTAAATTTAATTTTTCACTTTTGAATAACAAAAAGTACACAATACAAGTAATAAACAGGTTGTTATACGGCGACTGTTATTTACAGACTAATCCATGGATTAGGCATACGTGTCAATATAAAGGCTGGTATTTTACCTGTTGACAACACAAAGGTCAACCCTTTTTCTCACGAAGAATCCCGTAGTGCAGAAAGGTGCAGGTAACTACTTTGATTATGCAATTAAAGGATTGTGTACGTGTACATTAGTGACTCAGTTACCTGACCTTTTGACCTGTAGACTGGGTTGCAATATGAAATCAAACTATCGGGTTGTATATACCTGCCCTTGATTCATAAATGTAAAAGTTAAGGGTTTCTGCGATAATTTGTTTAAATTAAGGTGACTTTCTGTAGGGGCGTTACTTAATATTCAGTAACCTAATACCTACCTTTGCATAAGCTTTATTATCTGTATTATTCATAACCTGCATAGTGTTCGTCAATATTTGTAAAAGTTTTAGTATGTAGGGTTACAAATAAATATAAAATAAAACTATCAGAGAAACCCTTAACCAGTCGTGGGGGTATCAAACTTTAATATAAAAAAGACCTTTGTAAAATAGATGGCAGATGTTTAAAATAAAAAAATATATTTAAAATAAAAAAATAACTGAATCTGCAATCTGGGAATCTGTTGAAAGGAAAAGATTATGTCAGTATGCCAATCTTATTTGCGAGATCTATATGATTTGTATACAATCTTAAAACATATGATTTTTCCAAAAATGTCAGTAAATGTTTCAAAACGCTTAAGTTGTGTTGATTTGCCTGTTATTTAATGATCATTCTAAGGCATCTATATGATATAGTCTTAAAATTTTTATAAAATTAAAACTATTATTCTGAGATTGCTAAAATTTACTATATCTTGGAGTATATGGAAATATTTTAGGAAACGACAAAGTTATAGTTACGAACTGACGGAAGTGGCTAATTCGAATCGCCTTATATAACAATGAAGCTAGGTCGATTTTACTCTCACTATGAAAGCTATATGATATTATTGTCCGATTTCAAAAAAAACAAGAAAGGAAAGCTAACTTCGGGCGGAGCCGAAGAATATTCTGTAAATTATATTCTTGAAATTATTCATATGATGTATTCTTAATACTCATAAAAAGTCCAAACTTCCTAACTTTAAAAACACCAAAGTTATGGCATTTCCAATCGTTCAGTTATATGGCAGCTATAGGATATAGTCGGCCGATCCTTATGAAATTTGGTAGGTTGGATTGATTGGCCAAAAATAAAACCCATAGAAAATCCCAACTTCCTAACTTTACAAACACCAAAGTTATGGCATTTCCGATCAATCAGTTATATGGCGGCTATAGGATATAGTCGTCCGATCCTTATGAAATTCGGTAGGTCGGATTAATTGGCCAAAAATAAAACTCATAGAAAATCCCAACTTCCTAACTTTAAAAACACCAACGTTATGGCTTTTCCGATCGTTCAGTTATATGGCAGCTATATGATATAGTGGCCCGATCCGGCTCGTTCCGACTTATATACTACCTGCAATAGAAAGACAACTTTTGGGAAAGTTTCAAGCAGATAGCTTTAAAACTGAGGGACTAGTTTGCGTAGAAACGGACGGACGGACGGACAGACGGACAGACGGACAGACGGACGGACAGACGGACAGACGGACATGGCTAGATCGACTCTCCTGGTGATGCTGATCAAGAATATATATACTTTATAGGGTCGGAAATGTCTCCTTCACTGCGTTGCAAACTTTTGACTGAAATTATAATACCCTCTGCAAGGGTATAATGATAACCAAATTACGCATTGATATCAGCAATTTGGATTGCGTTTTAACAACAATTGCAATCCGTGGTTTCGTGAAAGAAAAGGCAATGAAATTAATCTATTTCTCTTGATGTATTTCTTCTGCTTCTAATTTTAAATACCCCTTATAGGTATTACATTTTTATAAGTATTACTTTCGTCATCTACCTACAAAAACAGTTTTTATATTATTCAACATAAATAATTAAACACTTAATACAAGTTAGTTACATGTACTTGAGTTGTTTCAAAGGCAATCGATTAATAAGTAAGTCAGCAAGAGGTACTGGAAATAAATAAATAATATTGGAGATAATATTTTGGTGTAAATGGATTAATAACATATTTTAAATGAATTTTTTACGTTTGTATATGCCGGCCCCCTTGCAAAGTTTTATTTTGTTGTTCTGTGTAATTATTTATTTCTAAAGATTAGATTGCAGCGCTGTAGATAGAGAGAAAAGTACTTAAAGCTCTCTCAATCCAGAAATCGTCTCAGTAGATAAGCAAAATATAAACAAATCAATAAGCGCCAAACACAACACCTCAGATTCGCAATCTCGCAAGCTACAACGATTGTTAAAAGAGAGTATTTGATAAGTGTGTATGAGTTCACAACAGCAACAGTCAGAACAAACATGACCAAATGCGTCTAACCTGTTGAGAACGTATATTACCTATCTATATACTTGCTCCACAACATATACATTCGTGTATTTGATTACGGCGGATATAAGTTGCGCTGGCTGGTAATTGTGAAACTCAGTTTGCAACAAGTTGACCAAGTGGTAGAACCTATCTTGCCTAGCCATGGCCCTACTAGAAATTTGTCTAGCCCTCCTGGGCATCGGTCTGCTGCTCTACAAATGGAGCACCTCCACCTTCAAGACCTTCGAGGAGCGGAACCTGTACTTCGAGAAACCGTACCCCTTCGTCGGGAACATGGCTGCATCGGCCATGCAGAAGGCCTCATTCCAGAAGCAGCTCTCCGAGTTCTACATTCGCACTCGACAACAGTAAGTAGTTTGCGGTTAAGCTATTAAAAGCTGATATCTAAAATAGAAATTATATAAAATTGCAGCAAAATCGTGGGCCTATTCAATCTTCGTACGCCAATGATCCAGCTGAACGACCCTGAACTCATCAAGAAGATCTGCGTGAAGGACTTTGACCACTTCCCCAACCACCAGCTCTTCATCACCACCAATGAGCGTCTGATCAATGACATGCTCAGCGTGATGAGGGATCAGCGGTGGAAGCATATGAGGAACACATTGACCCCAGTCTTCACGGCTGCCAAGATGCGCAACATATTCACCCTGATGAACGATAGCTTCGCGGAATGCCTCCAGCACCTGGACACCCCAACGGGTACATCGGCTGGCGGCAAGGGTTTCGAGGTGGACATGAAGGTGTTGTGTAACAAGCTCTCCAACGACATTATCGCCACAACCGCGTTTGGACTGAAGGTGAATTCGTTTGACAACCCGGAGAATGAGTTCTACGAGATCGGACAGTCACTGGTGTTCTCCCGCGGACTTCAGTTCTTCAAGTTCATGATGGCCTCGCTAGTGCCCAAACTTTTTAACGTGAGTGCATTCTTAAGCCATGCAATTTATGCAATAATGTTTTATTCGACATTTACCTTCGTTCTTTAGTTATTTGGTGTAACAATCTTCGACTCCAGTAAAGTGGAGTACTTTGTTCGCCTGGTGGTGGATGCCATTAGGTACCGAGAAAAGAACAATATCACGCGTCCCGACATGATCCAACTGCTGATGGAGGCCAAGAAGGAGTCGGAGGATAAGTGGACCGACGATGAGATTGTGGCCCAGTGCTTCATCTTCTTCTTTGCTGCCTTCGAAAACAACTCCAATTTGATTTGCACCACCACCTACGAACTGCTGCACAATCCCGACATCCAGGAGCGATTGTACGAGGAGGTAAAGGAGGCCCAAGAGGCTCTGAAGGGCGGTTCCCTCACCTATGACGCCGTGCAGAAGATGACCTACATGGACATGGTCATTTCCGAGTCCCTGCGTAAGTGGACTCTTGCGGCCGCCACCGATCGTCTCTGCTCCAAGGACTACACCCTCACGGATGAGGACGGCAACAAGGTTTTCGATTTCAAGGTGGGCGACCGCATCAATATCCCGATCTCTGGGCTGCACATGGACGATCGTTACTTCCCGGAACCCAGAAAGTTCGATCCGGAGAGATTTAGCGATGAGCGAAAGAACGAGTTGGTACCCTACACATATTTGCCTTTCGGTGTAGGACCTCGTAACTGCATAGGTGAGTTGAAACTTCTAAGAATTTTTCTAAAGATTTTTGTTACTGCATTTTCAATCTATTTGGCTGCATACTTTTTACATAAGCAGACTAAGCAATTTAAGAGCTCGGTTTTATATGATTTTGTTAAAAATCTTAAAAAGGAATCTAATTAATACCATTGATATACTATTCTATTATTTTTTTCTTACCTCTTATTCACTTGCTTAAAAATTATAATTTTCCGAGTTGGTATGATATATGTATATTAATTCCCCTTTCGCAGGAAACCGCTATGCTTTGATGCAGGTGAAGGGCATGCTTTACAACCTGCTGTTGCACTACAAGATCGAGGCTTCTCCAAGGACCACCAAGGATCTGTGGGGATCGGCACGCGGCTTTAATTTTACCCCCCGGTCCGGATTCTGGATGAACTTGGTGCCCCGAAAATAAAATTATGGTGTAAATAAAAAGGCGACTGAGCTGTTTTAGAATAAAATACACAGACATATATTTTACTTTTGATTATGTTTCCATACACACTTGTTGATATAGCATAGCTTAGACATATGTTTTCGTTTAACTCTCACTGGTTGCTTACAAAACTTTCTTCACTCCAAGTATTCTGGACACATTCCTTTTATATAACAATTTCCCTTTCACGCTGCGGAGAAAGCACGCAAATTACATAAAACGTTTTGGTTTGCAAACAAAAGAATCTTCAATTTGATTTGTTAAACAAAATATTGACGAAAAGAAACCGCAAATATTGTAAATGTTAATGTTTCGATTTGTTTGTTTCCGCATTCTGCTTTTGCCATTTTAAATTATTGCACATTTGGCTAATATCTGAATAAGATAATACTTTCACTCTTTTGGAGATTCTTTTGTTGGCCATCGATTGGATTTCGTTGGAGTTTATTGTTCGTTGATTGCGTTGTTTGTGGTCTCTGCTTTTCGTTTGTTTCTGTTCTGCCTACATCTAGCCCTAGAATAACTTACTAATAATGAAAATACCCCTGGCTGGGCATGTGTATATGAATATGCAAATATGATATAGTTTTAGCTTTGTACAACGATTTCTCTCATCTCTGATCTCATATGTGTCTTCTTAATCGGTATATTATACATGTGGATATGTTATTTACAGCCACGGTTGCCATTTCAATAATTACCCTTAAGTGTGGTCTCGCTTTGGTAACCAGAATGTAATGGAGTTGGTGTTACTAATAACATGGCAACCGTGTGAGAAAAGACTTTCCCCTTTACACGCTGTATAGTCGACCGTTGCTGGTGTGCTGCGAAGTGGATTGGCGGGGCTTTCCCAACCCAAAGAAGTTCCACACCCGCCTCAGGCAGCCGGGCTTCTTCTCCGGCAGCATCAGACTCTGCTCCTCCAGGATCGTGTCCAGGATGTAGTAGCTGCTCAGGTTGAGGGGCGGTGGCGGCAGCATGGGGGGTGGTCAGGAAATGGTGCAGTTCTTGCTCTCGTGCATGATCGCCGGTGCCCCGGCCATCGACGCACCTCCTCCTCTTCCTTCTCCAGGATTCAACGACGAGTCCTGGGCCAGCTTCTTCTTGCGCTCGTAGGCCAGTGCATCGTTGGGCACATAGGCCACCCTCACTCCGCCGTAGTGCTTTCGCGCGGGCAGCCGGTACACGTAGTCATCCATGTCGCTGGAGGAGCTGGATGAGCACGTAGAGCAGATGCTGGCCACGTCGCAGTTGTCCAGGTTGTTCAGCAGGTTGAGGGCTCCGCCACCGGTACCTGCATTTCCCCCCACCTGCGTTTGGGCGTTGTGCAGGCGGAGATTCGTCTGGTTGATCTGCATCTCCGAGGAGCTGCGCGACTGGTTGCGACGCCTCCGTCGCCGCCGGGCGTTCGAGTTGTCCGTGTAGCTCTTGGAGCGCGACATCGTGTCCTGGACGCTGTGGAAGCGCACCTCCTTCAGCGGCCGGTTGTCCAGCTGCTCGTCCTCCATCTCCTGGTCGGCCGGGTGCTCCTGGTTGCGGTTGCCGGCGAAGAGCTGCTCGTAGCCATCGTGGGGCAGCTCCCGCACCGGCTCGTTGTCCAGCTCCAGCTCGTGGGCCAGCTCCTGGGTGCTCTGCGTCAGGTCGGAGTTGCTCGGCGAGTTCAGGTTGATCTTGTCGATGCTCTGGTAGCTGTGCGAATCCTCCGCCTTCGAGAGCAGCATGTCCGGCATGGAGTTGGTCAGCGTTTGGTTGTCCCCGAAGATGGACTTGTCGCCGGCGCAGATGTTGTCCAGGCTGATGCCCAGTTCGGTGAGGTCGATGGGCGGCGGATGGGCTGGGCGTGGCATGCCGGGAACGCCTCCGCCGAGCAGTAGATCCGCCACGCCGGCAGCCTCCATGCGCTGTCGCTCCTGCCGCTCCAGGAGATCGCCGGCACTGCCAGTGGCCTTGGCTACATGGTGGCCATGGTGGGTCTTTCGTCCCGGATCCCGCTCCCGCTCCCGCTCCTGTGCACCCCCCTCCGCGGGGACCTGGCTATTTGGCTAGAGGTTGAGGCCCGGTGCGTGGGCCGCAGCTGGGGACCCGAACTCGTGTCCGATGGCGTGGGCGGCTCTCCCTTGCTGCAGGCGATCGAGCAGTAGATGGTGCCCCTCCTGGGCAGGAAGGGTCTGCCCAGCAGGGAGCAGCGGCACGTGCAGCAGCTGAAGCACTGGTCCGTCGCATGCCAGTGCTGCCCGTCGTGGCTCATCTGACCCTGGTCCACCCCGATCACCTCCCCGCAGTAGTCGCAGTACTCGGCGAACATCGTGTCGAAGCAGGCCAGACAGTACGGTTTGCCCTCGCGCATGATGTACCGCTGTCCGCCCAGCTGGTGCTCGCACTCCTGGCAGGCGAAGTGCTTCATGTGCCACGTCCGACCCTCCGCCTCCGTGCACTCGTCCGAGAAGATTATCTGGAGGGAGAGGAGAGATATTGGGAAACTTCGCATTAGACCAGCGTTCTTGGTGGATCTTTGGTGAGTACTCGCTAAATGTCTTAAATGCCCAAATGGAATAGAACCATTTACCAACAGTTGGAATCTACTATCTACTTCCTATAAGAAACTTCCAAATAAGTTACTTTGGACAGTAATTTTACTTTAAATTCACAAATACGTTGTACCATCAACACTAAATATAATTAATTTTAAAAAACTCACAGCAAGATTCAAGGCAAGTCAAAAATAACATTTACAATAACAATAAAGCTTGACTTACCGAAAACTTTTCAACGTTTTAAATTAGAAGTTAATTCTTGGAGCTTTCATTTTTGTTGCCGATTTCCAATGCTTAAGTATTTACTAGTGAACTAGACCGCACAACAATTAATTCTCCCAATACAATATTTAACAAAATTAAATTTAAAATTCATTTTTATAACTCCCGATATGTATTATAAAAAACCATGTCTTTTCTAAATCCAAAATCTATACCGTACCGCCATACACAACTTATTGGCACAATCTTTAGTGTCCCAGCCCAAATATTTAAATTTGTCATTAATATATTTTCAAAGTTAATCAACTACGCAATACAAAACATCTTTGAACTAGATTCCATATAAAAATACCATTTTTAAGCACTATTCAATATCCTACAACGATTTAATATTTTACCCAAATTCCATCTGTTCTTTAAAGGCTGCCACTTTTCTTTGCCCACTTTGCTGCCCAGGATTTTGACGAACACACTTACCTCATCGCAGGCGGAGCAGCGTGGCTTCTGGGTTTCGGCGTGGTGCCGACCGCAGTAGAGGTTCCCGTCCCGCTGGAAGTAGATGAGGTCCACCAGCAGCTCCTTGCAGACGCTGCACACAAAGCAGCCCGGATGCCAGCACAATTGGGCGCCCAACCGCTGGGCGAAGACCACGATGTCACCGCCCGACAGAGGCTCCTCGCACTGAAAGGAGTCATCAGAAGAGGAGCAGGAGTGAGTTGGGTAAATCTCATAAATAGGAGAAATATGCTCAAGTTCTTCGAACGATAAAAATCTGCAGCGTCTGTCTGCTGCTGGGGCAAAAATGCTTAAGCGACTATAAATGCTAAATAACGGTAATAAAACGCTTAAGCTCAACGCCCCACAACTGCCCCCCGGAAAAGATGTGCCAGCCCAGAAAAGTCCTTGCTCTTTGCCGCAGAATTCCCTGTCCTGCTCTGCGGTTTTCCCCCGCCACCCCCCCCTCCCCACGCTACCCGGATTTTCCAAAGCGGAAATCATGCAAAAATAGCTGCCGGCCATGTGTCCGTGTTCTCTGGTCTCAGGTCCACCCCAAAAGTGCTCCTCGGTGGATGTGGCCAAGGAAGCGCTTTAAATGGAACTGGCTGCTGGGAATTTTCCTGAGTTTCCAGCAGGAAGAGCCGCTTTTAATGACTACTGGCAAGCCACGCAGCTCGAGACTCGTTAACTTTAAACACGCTCGCATAATGAACTTATTTCGGCGCAAAAGGGTGCACGGTCAAAGGCCAAATTCTGGTGACGTTTTTATGTCCCTAAACGAAGGTTCTAATTGAGTTCGCTTAGCGGTCAGACTCCCAAAAGGAAAATGCTCAGCTATATGAAGTTTAACTCAGTTCTTGTCAGCTATTTCAAAATGAAATATTTCCAAGCGTATTAAAACGTATATTGCTGCGAGGACCAACAATTAAAATGCCCTTACAGTTTTATTATTTAGTATTTATATGAGATGTCTTGAGCAATGTCTAAATTTATATTATTTACTTGTCAACTGACCATATATTTTGTTAAAAAACACATAATAGACATAATAGCACTTTAAAACGTATTTAAACAAAATACAAACATAATAAAGAAGTTTATAAAACTTTACAGAAGGAGAGCATACTAAAAACAAATATGTATATTGAGCAAAACTAAATTTAACTTCACAGAAAAAGAACATTACTTTAAACCAATTATTTATTTTTAGCAAAACTAAATTTAAGTATTTCATTGCTCATAGTGTTTGGAACAAAAAGAAGACATTTTCCTTTTCTTGGATTTATTAACGGCTAAAAATACTTAACTTACTATCGTCTATTTAAATTGTCCAAAACCTTAAGGTGACTTTGTTCTGTTAGGCTTTAATTTGGTTTAATGTGAAGAACTCCGTTTTGATAACTATATTTTGACAATCCCTGTCTGCACTTTTCGCTTATCCGGCATGAAGCAATTAGCCCGTCCGCACTGATATATGCACAATCCTCGAATAAGAAGCGACACATGCAGTTCCTGCGGGCCAAACCTCAAACCGAAATTCCCCGCCAATTTGCACCCTCATTTCAGGCAGTTGGCGGGATTGCTCGACTGCGTCTCCGTTCTCGGTTTTGGCGGTATCTGGCGCAGGCAAATTACACGGCGCCACCACAGAGCCACCGCATAAGATTCAGGGCCCGAAACGCCATTGCCAGTCAGCCAGCATCCAGGAGCTTCTTAACTTTCCAGGCTATTAAACCTCGGCGCGGGCGATGCCTTGGTTGCTCGTCCTGGAGTCCTGGAGTCACAACACTCTCCACCGAGGAGACCCCGCAATCAGCATTTACTTTTGCAAGCCATTAAGCATTGACGGCGAACGCTTTGGGCCACGACTGTACAGGGTTGATAATTTCCCGGGGCGTAAGTAGCTTCTCTCTATGCGTCGTTAATTGTTTGGTAACTTCAAAAATTTATCGCCTCGGGCCAGGAAAATCATAAAAACCATTCTAGGAGCTGCGCACTTTAATTAGGCAGTTCCCCTGCCTTTTCTTCCCTGGCTAATGACGCATTGAAGTCGGAATAGACTTGTCCTTGCACTTTGGCGTGGCTAACCCCAGAAACTCAGCAAAAAACTTTTACCACAGGAAGCGCTTTAAGTAGTTTCTGTGGTGGGGACAAAGTGCGAAAGTTTCCAGCATGGATTGGGGGTGGGGTTTGATACCAATTTCAGTCCTAAAACCGCCCCCGCAATCGATTAGTTTGTCCGGAAAATCTGCGCACTTAAAACGACATTTTTCATCGGGCTGCCAGCCCGGCTAAATGTCATGTAAATAACAGCAATCGCTGCTCATTTATCTTATCAATCCAATTAATCCCAGTTGGCAGTTGGCTGGCTCTTGTTTGCAGGCACTCTGCGCCAGACAATTATGCTATTGACAAATTGTTGCCGGCGGTGCCATCGCAGCACCTAGTTGAACTGACTGAACTGGCTGAGACCGGATGACCCGAGGGCTGGGAAGTGTCCCCGCCAACCCATTTCGTGTCCGGACTAATCCAACTCGGAGCGACAAACTTCGCTGGCAGACGGTGCCAAGAAGGTGTCCTGTCCCAAAACAATCCCATCCCGAAACACCCCCCCAAAACGGCAACTCAAATTATTAATGATGCTCGTTATCATGCCCTTTTCAGTACATAAACTTTTCGCTTAACAGCCACTGCGCTTTACCTTCCTCTTGCTGGTTGTTTCTTTTTGTTTCTCTCTTACTACCTTGTTGCACTGAAAAGAATACTTATATAAGTTCTTGCTACTGTAAAATAAAATAGAGGTATGAGGAAAAAATATAGCACCGAAATTAAATTACTGATTTTTAATTCATTGTATTTAATTTCTGGATAATAAAAATATATTTAGGAAATCCACATATTTGAATAGCAGACTATATTATTACTAATTTTTCTCAGTATTTGGGAATACATATATTTCTTTCAGTAAAGTACCGAGTCTGAGTCTGAGATGGCTTTACTTGTAATTATTTCATTGTTGCCAGGACGACCTTTAGTGTCACATCCTTGTCAAAACTTCAGCTTCCGCTCGTTGCTGTTCGTGTGGAAAATCTGTCAAGAAGTGTGCCCCGCCTTCCGCTTCTCGATTCCATTATTTTTTGGCAAAATCATTGCCAGTTGGATGTGACACACGTTTGCGGGCCACGTTGCTACTCATTTACGCCTGACTGACTCGGGATTCAGGATCATTGAACGTTTTCATAAATTTTCCCTTATAATTTCCCCATGCTTTCCACGCCATTCGATTGGATGGCTTTGGGTTGAGGCCTTTGTTCGCATTTTAACGTCCGTTTAGCAAGTCAGTTATGGTCTGTGAATTTTAAGCACTTTCGCATGGGTCTTCTTCAACTGGGGGGACAGGGGATGGCTTCCGATTTTCAAATCCTTTTTAAAGTTTATCAGATTTTAAATGGAAACGAACTAGAAAGTTTGCCAGAACGAAAAACGCCTACACGGTTCACCAAAGTCATGATAAAGGCATTCCTTTGATTGCTCTTCCTGTATTGATACCCAATTTCTTTTAGATTTCAGTTAAAAAATATATATTAAAATTGGCTTCTCTTGAATAAGCTTTTAACACCAACACAGTTTCTTAAGCTGATTCCCTAATAATTGAACGTTTTCCTGCTGCGATTAAATTTAATTGGAAAATAGTTTAAATTATCTATTGGTAAAACTAAGTAATTTATATAATACCTATTGCAAACCCAGCCTTCCTTCTCGCTAAACACATAAGTTTGAGCTTGGCAAAGTTTGGGAGATTTCTTTGCCAAGTTCACACTGATTATTCGGGACTGTAATGAACTTAAACCTCTGGAAAGTGTTTGCTGAACTTGGGCCCTAGTGATAATAAACCCAACTAGACTGCCAAATGAAATCAGACTCACGCACACGACTCCGGGTGAGTCCCTATCCGCCGGATTCCCATTCGCACGCGCACGTAGCAGACGGATTTGGATTCAGATTCTGAGACCAGACCAGACCAGACCATACTCCTCCGACCAGAAGAGACCAGGGAGGAGCCGACCGCGTCCCAGACATGCAACATGCGGCATAAAGTTTTTAATAAGTTTTACGAGTGGCCAATGTGAGCACAATAAAATCGAGCTACCAAACTATGTAGCCAGAGTTGACCAAGTGCACATCGGCGGCAGAAAAGGAGAGTCCTCCGACTGTCAGCTAATAACAATGCAAATTTCCCAGAGCAGACTGTGAAAGGATGCAGTGCAGTGGGTGCCACCTCTGCCACTATTTCATGCCACTGCCATTGTGCTTTAATGCCATTTCATTGCGTCTTGGAGTTGCCGGCCACTCCATTCACTTTCAGCGCGAGGAAAACTGTGGAGGGGAAAAGCTGCGACTCTTTTAGCCTTTATGTTGTCAGAGGCAAGTCATTGGAATTGTTTTTGCAACAACGTTTTTCACTTCCAACACCTCACTCCGCTCGCTTCAAGTGTACTTAATGAAATCTTTTTGTCATCTTTTACTTCGAGACGTTTGAAAGTTGGCAACACCGGTCTCCCCCATTGTTTTTCCGGGCCATTGTCAATTTTTTTCCTCTGCCGGGGCCAAGAAGGAATCTCTGGCGCAAAACTTTGCCCGGCCAAGGCACAAATGAAATCGAAACGACTCTTCATCTTCATACTTTCCGTGCATAATAAAATGCAAATTTCTGCAACAATTAAATGTGCGGAAGAGGGGGTGCGAAAAAGAGCTGAAAAAGAATAAAAATAGCAAAGTTGTTTTCAAACTTACCCCCTTGCAGGGTCGCTCGTCGGACAGCAGGCGTACCGCCCCGCGACCCAGGGCCTCCCGCTTCCTTTGGGCCGAGAAGATGCGCAGCTCCTTGCGCTCCTCGTCGCTCAGCGAGTGGCAGTAGCGCACCTGCAACGGACACGTAGACGGGGAAAAAGTTAGCCTCTGTATTCCAGCATTTTAATTAAGGCAACTCAAAAGGCAGTGGCAAGTTTTTTAATCTCGCCGGGCCTTTTGAAGGGCTCCTTTTATATTCTGTTTTCAATGCCCACGCCGGGGTAATTATTAATTTTGTCACAACGAGCTGATTTTAATGTCTTATTCTACGAGCCTTTTTAGGCAGGAAAATCCCTCAAAGGGAATATTTTTATAGGATTAGTTAGTTAGTTAGCAATAAAAATACACAAAATTTGCATCAACTATTCTAGCAGAACTTGCTCAACACAATTTGTCACAACTTCGACTTTCCATAATAATTATGTGTAACTTAAGTTACACATACAACACATTTGTCTGAATACAATTGTTTTATAGTTAATTGAATAATTTTGGTGGTTTTAAGTTCTTGGGAAATTTTCAAAGCGGACCGAACTTTACGAGAAATTATTGAATAAGACGTTTTTCTAGGGAATATTTGTCTTACCGCAATATCTCGCGGATTTAATTAAGATTAAAAAAAATTAGTATATACGCAATTAGAGAACTTAGGGTTCTTAAATACATTTAAACTTTGTTAAAAAGCTTTATATATAAAAAACATTTTTTCTACGACTTTTCAAATCATTATAATTTACATTTTATGGTTAATTGAATGCGCAGAAAACTATACTAAGTCAATATTTTGATGAAAAGTTTTTATTAGAGTAGTTTAAGTAAGAGGGAATCATAAGCAAGGATATTATCGACAAAAGCTATAAATAAATAAATAAGTCGTAACGCACGACCATATGATAGCGTATATGAACATATAGCTGCCTTAGGAATGATCAAAATATTCATGGGAAAATCGACAAAGCTTTGTTTTTGTTTGGCACATATGTACGCCTACAATATCAGACATACAATTTTTGGTTTTTGTAACAGCTGTTAAAACTTTAAGGCTTCAACCTGCAGAAGTCTGCTCCCTTTCTTGTTTCCAGCTAATTTTAAAATGGTCAGTTCCTTATCAGGACTCCCCATTGTTATCTTTTTCTTTTACCAGCCCCATTGTTCTTTCATTTTTCTTTTGCCCAATACTCACTTCGTTATCTTGCGGCGGCAGCTGGTGCAGTAATTGCTTGACACGATACTTTTCGCCGGGACTGTTGACGTAGGGCACTTTGTCGTCTGGCAGTTGGCTGAAGTACAAGCGGACCTGCAAAATGGTAAATGCAAATCAGAAAGTTGAACTAGGATCCGGTTGAACATAAGCCCCAGGGAATATGTACTCTTTAAATCATAACGAATTAATCGAAAGCCAGTAGATACTGTGCACAGAGTCGTGCCAGTATTAAACTGTCGCATAGCGGATGGAAAATTGAGTTCGACAGAAAAGAAAAAGCTCAGACCAATCTCAACGGATTTTCGGCTTTTCCCAGGAGCTCTTATGTAAGACTCCGCCCCGAAAAAATAAATCGACAAACATTTCAAACACTAATTGCCGCCAAATGTATCGGCAATTTAATTACAAAACGCTTTCGCTTTCCACCAGATACCGATGGCGATTCGGGAGCGATAATTTCTTGAGCGTGTAATTAAAGTGGTTTCCCGATTGATTTCCTTAAGCGCGCAAGTGGCCAACGACCAGACATTGAACTGGATTTGGTTTTCGGAATCCGATTGGGAGAGCGTGGAAAATCGATCGAAAGCAAAAGCTGGCAGCGGGTGGCATGCGGCTCCAAAAGGCAACCACCTCGCCCCACATCGCATCGCCTGGGATTTCTCTTAATTAGTTGCGACAAATCGAAACACATGTTGAGGATGATGACGATGCCGATGATGTTGGGCATGTTTTAGGTGCTAACCTCCAAATACCAAATAGAATAACAAGTTATACCAAGTTAGACCTTGATTTCTGAGAGGGTGATTCCAAATAACGTCTTTGAGGAATAAATTGGTATTAAGTCAACACTTTAAATTATAAATCTGATTATCATTCTTGAAACTTATATGCAATATTTTGCCTTTGAAGCTTTAATTAACATAACATAAATAACATTTCTATATAACTCTAGAAAAGGTCTGAATAAGTAAGATTTCAATAAATAATATCTTTATATTATTTGGTATGACATCAGTATTTTTTGTAAATTTAATTAATTAAAGAATTGTTTGAAAGTCATTGTAACTTGATTTAAAGACGTTTCGGGCTATGCTAATTGGGAGGTAATTTGTATTTATGGTTTTGTTAGGTTTAAAAATGTTATTTATCGAGTACACATTCTTGCCCGATTGCGGATCTTTTTGGATTTGGTTGTTGGGACCTACCTGGTCGGGCCGCAGACCCGGCGGCACCCAAGTGTACTCCTCGAGGGCACAGCCACTGTCGTCGTCCGACTGCGAGTTCCGCTGGAAGTCCAGCTGCTGGTGGTGGCTGTGATGGAAGCCGTGCCCCGCCACCGCCGCCGCCGTCTTGTAGCTGGCGGTGCGGAGGGGCGAGGGGGAGGCCACCGAGTTGAGCGGCAGATGGCTGGGCGGCTGGCAGTGGCGACGCTGTAGGGGCGACACAAAGTGGCTCGTTGAACCCGGGGCTCCACCGCTTCCCCCACTACCCCCGCTTCCCCCACTGCCACTGGAGGCGGCCGAGGGCACGTCCAGATTGGATGTGGATGCCACCTGACTGCCCAGCGATGTTGGCTGCAGGGCGCTGACCGCCGAGTGGCAATGCGATTGGGTTTGAGGGGCAAAGATCAGGCCCGTTCCGCCCGCCTCAATCTGCAGCAACTCACTCTCCGTCTGCGTATAGTAGCTGCTGCTGCTGGGCGGATGGTGTTGCTGCTGCTGTGGATGTTGCTGCGGGGTCTGTTGCATGTTGCTGCTGGTGCGGGGCGCGGGCGTCGGCTTGAATTTTCTAATGGCTGCTTGGCTGGGCTGGGTGCTGCAAAAATAAAAAAAAAAAATAAAAGAGAAATCATTAGGAGGTGTCCAGATTACAAAACGAACATTCGGTATGGTTTCTAGTTTTAAGAAGTAATAAAATTTAATTAAAAGAAAGCGCGGGCTAAACTAGGAAATTAATTACACAAAATATCTACAGCTTACATTTTTACAAATGTTTCTTGAACTACATGTTTCGAAATGACAACTGTATTTATTTTTAAAATAAATAAATTCGTAGTCATAGAGTTATAATAGTTTTTAGTTGACAAGACCCATGTTTGAGTAAGCTGATTACTCCGAGGCATAACTGAGAAATGATGTACGTTATGCAATTCCAGCTAACATGAAGCGCCTTAATCATTCCTGACTCCATTTGCCCGACTCATTTGCAATTAGTTTGCTGGACTAGCGGAAAACGTATTCTTTGCGAGTGCCAGCAGGCATTTGAAATGACTTTTGAGTGCAATTACCACCGCAGCTGCATGCGTGCAGTGGTCCAATCAAATCTGATGAAACCCCGAACCCGAAATTGCAGCCCCGGCAGCGTCATAAGGTTTGGTTGCCTACTCGCTTGACCGCTGCCCACAGTGGAATCTTCTTTGCCGCCGCTTTCTGTTGTACTTTCACTCGATTTGTGGCACGCTGCGCGATTATGCAGCCAAGCAGAGACAGCCGAGAAATTCCAGCACATGGCCCACGGAGGAGACGGTCATGTTTCAGCCTTAATTCGCTTTTTTCCTACTTGTTTATGTGGCAATTGAAGTCATTTGTTTGTTTGCTCACAGTCGAGCCGAGGTGTGTGAGATATTAAACTGTTTCATTCACAAACGTCGCACATTTGTATATCGCATTGCACAACATCCAGAGCATGAATAACAGGCAGACAAAGCCATTAGGCCTTCCAACATTTTATATTTACTAATCAACGTGAGAAGAAACCCCAAAACAATTTGCCATTCCACCGAAAGTCGATTTATCTACACGGCCAGGTGGTTTATGCAAATTAAAGACATCTCATCACAATCGTAGTTTAGCCTTCTGCTAATGAAGCAAAGCCCACAGTGCCGCGAAAAGTGAACGTCACTGGGGGTCAAAGAGTCAGATAATGTATCTTACATTAGTACCAGCTGGATGACCAGGAGCCATTAACACCTCCACACAGTGTTTGCAGTTTGCAGATCACTCAGTGCCACTGGAATGAAACAGCGTGTGGGGAGAAAGTTTTATGGCCACTCTTTTTGTTTTTTTGGTTTTCCAATGCAAATTTCATTTGCTCGCAGGTAGCTTTGGTTGTGGTGCCAAAAGTTGATCGATCGCAGGGTACTTTCTAAACAGTTTCGCTTGGGATTGTCCGAGCCACAAGCCAGGGCGTAATCTGTCACCCAATGAATTGGGAATTGTGCGACTGACTTTGGCGATTGACTTTGATAGCGGAAAACAGCGGCCAAGCGCCGGGCCAAACAAAAAAAACCAAGCCAGATCACATCAGATCAGATCAATTCAAATCGACACACAAGTCCCAGTCCCGGCTGCCGAATATGGCCAACAGTTGTTTGGCTGCCACTTTTCGGAAGGCCTAGACGGCAGTCGGCAGTTGGTTTTCTCTTTTCGACCAGCGAAACCTGTTGACGGTTTCTACACGGTTTCTATACGGGTGCATGCGATTTCTGCACTGGACGCCACTTCGCCACTTGGCCAGGCGAAAAATACGCAAAAATGCCGCCTGACCAACTACGGATCGCGATCTGGACATATACATAAATTTGGGTTAAGAAGATTTTGAGTTTATTTGGTTTGATGTCTGTCATTTCCTTGATGGCCTGTCGCAATTGCGCACGTCTGAGGATAATTAAAAGTAAATTGTTTGACACTCAAATCGGATGGGAATGGCTTGAGAAATATGGCTCTGCTGTTCCACAATTGGCAATCCGGTCTTTTCGGCTTGGCCAACACTTTGGTATTTTGAAGACACTTTTGGGAATAATCTGTGCTTATCGAAGTTTCATGTTTGTGTGCGAAAAACTGCACTGGCTGGCCTGAATGTGTCTAGAAAGGGGGTATTTAAAAAGGATTATGCCGGCACAGAATATAAAATCATGTTGCTCAGAAACACCACTAAAAAATAAATAATTTTAAATTATAAGTTGTGCTAACGAATTCAAAATATACATATATGGTTTAAGGTTCAATGGCCACCTAAATTAATTGATTCAAAAGCACACCAGTAAAAATATCATCGGTAAGCTGACTTCCAGGTGCAAAAAGGTGCCATTAATTTTAAACTTTACTTCTCACATTCATAACTAATAACAATATCTAATCTCATTCGCTGTTTTGTATGCATAACCCGTTTCAAAAACCGTGTGCCGCTTTATATATTTTTCCCCACCTTTCCTTTCGATTCGATTTCCACATCTTACAGAGCTCAGCTACGATCTGATCCAATCCAAAACAATCCAATCTTATGCGCTGCTTATTAACGGACTTTTCAGCAATTTCAGCACGTTTTCTGTTGCTCAAATGCCAAATCCCAGCTGTAATAATATCTCAATTATGTGCAACACCACGGTATCGATAGCATTTCTATTCGTTCCACGGTATTGCGGCAGTATTTCCACGATTTCATTAAATTTTAGACACGCAGTTTCCCCAGAAAAATTCGCAGCAGGAACACGTAACTGGTTCAAAATCATTTAAGACTCTCAACCACAACCACAACGATCGCACAGATCCCCAGAAAAAAACAAAAACACGTTTTCCAATGGGGCTCCGATTCTGGGAAATGCTAAATGCACTACGACACAGAACGGCAGCAATTGAGGCACTAGGAAACGAAATTAATACGTAACATGCTATTCTTAATAATTGAAAAGAGTCGAGGCAGCCAATCGGCATTAAATTACTTTCACAATTGGCCGAAAGATAAACGCCCGTCTTGGCCGGGTTAAGCCTGGCATTAAGCCTGGTAATGCTTGATTATCCATGACCAGCACACGATCTCCGATCTCCGATCTGCGATCCTGCGATCTGCAATCTTCAATCTGAGATGCCCCATTCAGAATCTGGCCCAAAAGGGGGCGTGGCAGATCAGGGCTGGGCAGGGCCTATTATGAAATCTCGTGCAATCGCCCCCCAACTCGTGACCTTGTTGCGTTGCGTGTTTCATTGTCTGGCCCAAAACGACTCCCAAACGCCGCAATTTATTCGACTATTCAGCTGACTTTCGGGTTAAACTGCCGCGTTTGACTGGCTTTACGTCACACGAATAACCCACCAACCCCAAGCACATCTGATTCGAAACCGGGCAGTAAACAAAAAAGTCCGTACATGCAATCGCGTCATATGTTGCACGTGTTGCTGTCGCTCAGCATTTTTATGCATTTCGCTTCGCTTTTCCCTCAGCTTCTTCGCTTTCTTTATGGGTTTTTGTACGAACATGAGCACATTTTGTGTGTGCGCCTGTCTGCAGGTCGACTTCACCTGGAATCGCTGCCTGGATGGGGATACCATTGGGTCTGGGATTGGGAGCCAGTCGGGCCCGTTGCACAAGTTCTTCTTGGTTCCTAGTGCTCGGCGAATGTGTGTGTGCAGCAACGCCTATTTAAGTACCGCGTGGTGATTTAGTGCAGCGTTCCCGTTAGGCGGTACACGTTATTCACTATTCGGATCCAAGGCGACCAAGGCTGGTGATAAGCCATAAGCAATAAGCTAGCTGCATCGCATCTGGCAGAGGCGTGAGCTCGAAATATTTTGGGGGGGCTAAAAGGAGCAACTCAGTCCTGTAAACCATCTTAAATGCCTAGCCCAGTTTTTAGTTTTGAGAAATTATTAGGCTTCCTACCCCTTTTCTCAAAAAAAAAATATAAAAAATATGACTAAAAGTCCACAGTAAATGAATATGACCATCTTGGCATGAACATAATATTTAGTACTTATTCTTTAAGGCGTTATTAAAACATTTTGGGAAATGAAAGCAGGTCTATCCAACAGGGAATTTAAGAACCAATTTAAAGGAGAGCAATATAAATATAACAAATAAGGTTGCGATGGATTGAACCCAGATCATTGTATTATCACAATGAAACAAATTCTTTTTTTTTAATAAAACTTTTTAGTTATTTTCATCTCCGTCAAAGTACCACCTAAACTCAAGACCTATGAAGATACTTTGTACCTTTACTATTTTGTAAGCCCCGGCTCAAATCTCTTTGGGGTGTCTTGAGCCCCCCAAGACCCTCTTTCGTGAAGGCCGCTCCCAGATTTAGATAGTCAAGTCAAACAAGAGCATCGTAGTCAACAGCTTCAGCATCTGCATCTGCATTTTCAGCAGCGGCTAAAATGCATAATTAATCGGGGGGCCAAAAGAAGAAGCGGCAGCCGAATGCACTTGGCCAGCCCACACTGGCAGTTCGCGATTTTGAGAGCGAGTTGCAGATGCTGCTGCCGCTAATGTTGCTGCATTGCATGTTGCATGTTGCTGGAACTGCTGGTTGCATGTGGCATGTGAGGCGAAACAGAACCGAAAACCCAACTCCACTCAAGTCGGGTTTGAGTCGAGTTTGAGCTGAATCGCGTTCCATCGTCATTAACAGCTTTTGCTTAATTTTATGCAGCCAGCCGCTGCCACTCCCCCTTTTTGGCCAGCCGCCCCCCATGCCACGCTGTCAACAACTTTAGACACGTTTCAGCGATTTTCATGTTGCATGGCTCGCTCTAATTTATGCAAAATGTTGTTCTTCTTCTGTAATTCACTTCGTGTATTCGCTCGCTACTTGTTTTGCTCTTTTCCAGGCGTCTGTTTCGAGGTATTTTTCAACGAACTTCAATACTTATGGCCAACTTGTTTTCTGGCTTCATTAGTCCCCCAAGTTGATGGCCAAGTTTTTGTGTGTTGATTTTTCTTCCATATTGATTTCCCTGACAAAATGGGATTCTGTTTGCCGCGGATTCAATTGGATTTTAATTGCTTTCGAACAGAAACATATGGTTTCTGGCCGT